TCTCTCTCTCTCTCTCTCTCTCTCTCTCTCTCTCTCTCTCCTCTTGCATCTTTCTTTTCCTCCCTAAGTTTGCCTAACAAGAGAAATGCTTCGATAGATGGTCTGGCGCAATAAACATCGCGCTGGACGTCGGAAGCGGAAGAAAATCGAGACCCTGCGCCGGTTAGGAGTCCCCATAATCAAGAAGGACCGGACAGGGACCTTGCTAAGCGAGCCAGCTTGCCAAGAATTACTTAAGACTGGACGATTAGTAAATAGAAATAAAAAACAACTACCGACTACCGACGCTATACCTGTCATAGATTTAACAGAAAGCGAGACTCCTACCCCTCCGGCCCCAAACCAATTCTCTCCCCCTCCTCCAATCTCTATTTCTTATTCGACAGTCCCTGCTGAAGGAGATATCTCAAACAATGAATTGTATAAAGACATAGAAGATCTAGACGTCGATATTTCCTTCCCCTCACCTGACGCACGCACGCACGCACGCACTACATATGTATCAAAAATTATCGAAAAATTACTACCTTTCTAAATCAAATGGGAAACGAAAAAAGTTTAAATGACGATCTGCTCTGGAATTATTGTTACAGTCACGCATAAAATTGCACATATAAAACCACCAACAATTACGCGTTCTATTTTATATATTTTTAAATATTTTTAAAGCTAAAATATTAAGAGTATCTTTCAATAGCAGACAATCATCGATTAATCGGAGTTGGTTCTAATTGTGTTGTGGGCCTTCTACAATAAGCCATAAGTCATTACTCACATGACATAATAAGTGTTATAAGTCATAAATCTTAAGGAATTTAGATTCAACAATTAAATTCGACAAGTTTGATGAGTTCCATGTCATCTTGTAAACATTCATATTTCATTTTTAATACGATATAAATCACTTCGATCTCAATATTCTCGATTCAGTTTTTAGGTTATAAGAAATCAGTTTTCTCGTAAGAAATGGCAGACACATACTGTTTTTTGATTGGTCAGTCATAACGTAATCATAAGCTGTAAGTCAGAAGAGATGGAATTTGGCCATCTCCACTCGGTCACGGACTACCGACTTATTACTATCTTATGACGGATTAATTATACCCATCTGGAAAGCTCCCTATGATATACTAACTTCATATTAGTTATATTTACTGTTCAATGACGCCATGTTGGTAGTAATGCAGCGCATGCGTGGTAAAATTTCTCCGACGCTATTTCTACGGAGTGCCGCTACTGGTTCTACTTATACTGTGCCGATACTGACATAGGTCTCTTAAAGTGGCACCCCCTTATTTCTCGTAAACTAATCTTTGCACTTCATTAATACTAATGAAAACATAATCTGTTTAGGTAATTAAAGAAGTAAAAACTCATAATTCATATATATGTGGCTTGTTTCTATACAAAATCAGCTAAAAACGAATTCTACAAATGTGAAAACAAAATTCTTATGATGTTATTTTATAAATTACGTAGTTTATGTAATAGTAGCTATATTAGTGATAATATTAAGTCCTTTTATATGTTTGTAGTTTTCTAAAACTATTTTATTTATATTTTCCTGTTTCTCTTATTTTTCTTATAATACGGTTTTAAAAATAAAATCGTTTATAGCCTAAACCGGCATGTCGTCACGTGTCTCATCACGACATATCGCGCATCGTAACATAACCTGCACTCTGCGGTTACATGCGCATACTCTGTGGCCATATACACATATGTCAGTTTTGGGGCCCATTTTGTCTGACGCTCGTTTTCGCTTATTCGATAAAAAAATTAATTATTGCAAAATTCTTAACAGTATTATAAAAATTGCTATAGAGCATCGATAGAAGACACTTTCCAGTTTACATTTATATATCTCCAAAGATTTATTTTCTGCTTTTGTCTAAAAAATATAGTCTAATAACGAAGTAGTATGTCGGTATCGCTGACCTTCCTCTAAAATTTATAATATACTTGAAATTCATCCATTAATCTATTATATTTAATTAATATACACATATATAGAGTTCCATTACGGACGCAACAATAATACAATATTATAATTAATATAAATACAAATATACATGTAACAAATAAAAACGATCGATTGTGTCTTTGATACCAGCGCGCAACATATAATTATGCGACAACACGGTGTTCTAACATAATAGTAGCTTCCGACGGATGCGCGTCTTCCTCCATTCTAATTTCTTTGGCCGGCGACTCGGGGGAATTCAATTTCGTACGCTCCGGTGTCAATCGAATAGTAGTGCCATGCCGACTATAATCCTCGATTTCGCCTATCGGCTGATCAACGTCTTGCCCTACGTTTTCGTTACACTTTCCCTGTTCGCAAAAATGAATAAATCAAATTATACTCTCATTAGTTGCGCTAATATTTTTCTGCAATTATAAATTATAATCTATTTATATATATTATAAAAGAGAGAGAGAAAAGGAGAGAGAGAGGGAGGGGGAGGGGGAGGGGGAAGAGGGGGAGAGAGGGGGGAGAGCGCTTAACATAATGTGAAGCTCAATCGGAGCTTCATGTTACCTTTTTAACTACGACCTATTTAAAACGTAATTCATTCATTTATAATGCTTTAAAAAACTTTACACAAATAAATTCTATAAAATCTTATTATTACTTAAATATTGTATAATATGAAATAATCTTATTGTACAAATAATATCAAAGAAAAAGAAGAGAAATTTCTATAATAGATTTTTAAATTAAAATTGTCACAATGAGTGCGCGGTGCTCACTTGTAAAAATCTCAGCAATTCTCTTCGAAATTCTGTACTGCAGGCGAGATATATGAGGATGTAAATGGCATAATTGCTGAGCTCGACAATCGTTGAATACACGCGGAACTTTTGATAACGAAGGTCCAACGGATGACGATCGGTATATAGTATAGGCGTAAGACTCGGTAGAACTGCCGTAAAAAAGAAGCATAGAATCATTGTTGTTGTTAATATCGCCAAGTGTTGCTCCTCTCTGAAAAGAATAATTTTTATATATTCTGGTGGGACCAGAAATATAAAATATCTAATCTTTTGTTTTAACTTGTATCCTCGATTGCGAGATAATAATGACGTGTCGGGCGTTTTATTGGTCCGAAATTTATTCGAAACGGCATGGAATTGTCGGTTTTGCACATTCAACTGTAGAAACCTCTTAATGACCAGACTATTTAATACAATGAATACGATCGACGGACAAATTCGTACTATAATCTCCATTATCCAAATATATGTTCTCCATATCGCAGTTTGCGTAACGAATACATTTTCACGTAATGTAAAAGAAGTACCAAATTCATTTTGTTCCGCATAAACGATTCTCATTACCGATAGCGGACCACTAATCTGAAAAGAATTACTAAGTAGAATAAAATATACATATACATGTATAAAATATTTCTAAATATATTATATATGTGTAATATTTTATGCATAAAATTATTATATCTATTGTGTTTGTAATAAAAATTTTCTCGTTATTATTAAACCCGAATTAACGCAAACTAATCGATTGTAATGATTCGCGCTCTTTGATTAAAAAATCCACTGACAAATCAGCGCAAATAATAAACGCTGTCGTTTATTGATTTGTTGCTTTTTCATATTGATTTTCTCAACCAATCATTCTAATATAATCGGATAATACTAACTAAATAAAGTAAAGATGCAACAATATAATCGATGCAACAATTATTAATAATTGTTAACAGATCTTATATTCAAGATCGTCTTAATCGTGTGGTCATAGTATAGAGAGAGTTTTAATACTATTCAATCAGTAAAATAACTGTACAGTTTGTCTCAAAATCGTATTATGATCTTAAACATGTAATAATCGAATTATATGAAACATCGGCTATAGATCGCACTCAATATTTTAAATAAATAAAAATTATTTTTAATATTTTTTAAAAATAATATAAAAACTCTATAGATTATTTATAGATAGCTCCGAGAGAGAAAGTGAAACATAAAAATATTTATAATAGTAAAGATTATAGTGGAATCAGAATGTAGAAGATTGCTCGATACTTTAACAAATAAGATGAAAATATTCAAGTATTAGTAGTGCCATGCCGACTATAATCCTCGATTTCGCCTATCGGCTGATCAACGTCTTGCCCTACGTTTTCGTTACACTTTCCCTGTTCGCAAAAATGAATAAATCAAATTATACTCTCATTAGTTGCGCTAATATTTTTCTGCAATTATAAATTATAATCTATTTATATATATTATAAAAGAGAGAGAGAAAAGGAGAGAGAGAGGGAGGGGGAGGGGGAGGGGGAAGAGGGGGAGAGAGGGGGGAGAGCGCTTAACATAATGTGAAGCTCAATCGGAGCTTCATGTTACCTTTTTAACTACGACCTATTTAAAACGTAATTCATTCATTTATAATGCTTTAAAAAACTTTACACAAATAAATTCTATAAAATCTTATTATTACTTAAATATTGTATAATATGAAATAATCTTATTGTACAAATAATATCAAAGAAAAAGAAGAGAAATTTCTATAATAGATTTTTAAATTAAAATTGTCACAATGAGTGCGCGGTGCTCACTTGTAAAAATCTCAGCAATTCTCTTCGAAATTCTGTACTGCAGGCGAGATATATGAGGATGTAAATGGCATAATTGCTGAGCTCGACAATCGTTGAATACACGCGGAACTTTTGATAACGAAGGTCCAACGGATGACGATCGGTATATAGTATAGGCGTAAGACTCGGTAGAACTGCCGTAAAAAAGAAGCATAGAATCATTGTTGTTGTTAATATCGCCAAGTGTTGCTCCTCTCTGAAAAGAATAATTTTTATATATTCTGGTGGGACCAGAAATATAAAATATCTAATCTTTTGTTTTAACTTGTATCCTCGATTGCGAGATAATAATGACGTGTCGGGCGTTTTATTGGTCCGAAATTTATTCGAAACGGCATGGAATTGTCGGTTTTGCACATTCAACTGTAGAAACCTCTTAATGACCAGACTATTTAATACAATGAATACGATCGACGGACAAATTCGTACTATAATCTCCATTATCCAAATATATGTTCTCCATATCGCAGTTTGCGTAACGAATACATTTTCACGTAATGTAAAAGAAGTACCAAATTCATTTTGTTCCGCATAAACGATTCTCATTACCGATAGCGGACCACTAATCTGAAAAGAATTACTAAGTAGAATAAAATATACATATACATGTATAAAATATTTCTAAATATATTATATATGTGTAATATTTTATGCATAAAATTATTATATCTATTGTGTTTGTAATAAAAATTTTCTCGTTATTATTAAACCCGAATTAACGCAAACTAATCGATTGTAATGATTCGCGCTCTTTGATTAAAAAATCCACTGACAAATCAGCGCAAATAATAAACGCTGTCGTTTATTGATTTGTTGCTTTTTCATATTGATTTTCTCAACCAATCATTCTAATATAATCGGATAATACTAACTAAATAAAGTAAAGATGCAACAATATAATCGATGCAACAATTATTAATAATTGTTAACAGATCTTATATTCAAGATCGTCTTAATCGTGTGGTCATAGTATAGAGAGAGTTTTAATACTATTCAATCAGTAAAATAACTGTACAGTTTGTCTCAAAATCGTATTATGATCTTAAACATGTAATAATCGAATTATATGAAACATCGGCTATAGATCGCACTCAATATTTTAAATAAATAAAAATTATTTTTAATATTTTTTAAAAATAATATAAAAACTCTATAGATTATTTATAGATAGCTCCGAGAGAGAAAGTGAAACATAAAAATATTTATAATAGTAAAGATTATAGTGGAATCAGAATGTAGAAGATTGCTCGATACTTTAACAAATAAGATGAAAATATTCAAGTATAACTCCTAGTATAACAATAATTAATATAAGTCAGAAAGGGCGATGTAAGAGTCAAACGATAAAATTTTATACTATGATATTTAATACTAAAATTTGACAAGTAATAAAATATAAATATAAAACTATCAATATAAAAAAAATTAAATATATAAAGTTACTTAAATTAAATACATGATGATCGTCGTGACAAGTTTCGGCTCTAGGTTTGATCCCTCCTCAGACGTTAAAAAACAATTGGACAAAATCAATTGTAGAAAGTCGGTCGTACAGTCTTTATTCTACTCCAGTGAGTCTCCAACAGAAAAATGACATTATGGTTATACATGATTGAAAAGTCAGTGTATAACCATATCTCTGAAAAGATGGTAAAAAACTTTCTTTATAGATGTTAAACAAATTATGTCAAAATTTCTATGAGAAAACTCACCAGGAAAATCAAACGATAATAATGCTAATTCAGTGTGTCGGCATTGTTAATACGTTAATCAGATAAAATACAATAAATAATAATTAAAAAAGTTTGTACATTGTGGACATATATATTGTGTAAGTCGACTAATAACGTTAAATAACAGATGCAGACTGAGCAAGACCAACAATTATCAATATTAGAAAGTCAAACTTTATTTACAATGGGCACATAAGCCTTATGAAGACCTTCAGTATCTGTTTGTAAATTAAGACTATTTTTCTGTTTTTTAATATGTGTGAAGCATTTCAGATATTATGCGTTTTCTATGTAGAGCCGAAACTTGTCACGACGATCATCATGTATTTAAAAATAATACATTCCTCAAGGGCGAATGAGAGTGCAGCATTGATCTTAATACGCAATAACTAATAACTCTTATTATTGAATTAAATTGAAAAATATCATTTATTCAATAATGGACAAAATATAATTCTTATCATGTATTTAATTTAAGTAATTTTTATATTTAATTTTTTTTATACTAATAGTTTTATATTTATATTTTATTACTTGTCAAATTTTAGTATTAAATATCATAGTATGAAATTTTATCGTTTGACTCTTACATCGCCCTTTCTGACTTATGTTAATTATCGATACTTTAATTTTCTATTTTTTTATTAAAAAAAATTATATGTATCTTTCAATAGAAAAGAAATACGAGTATCATTTTACGTAAACAGTTTACCAGAAAGCCAGCAATAAAAGAAGAGAGTATGAAGGAATTAACGTTCTTGCGTGTGTTTCCAGTGCGAATACGCGCTGGAAAGAATACAAAAATGTATCGATCTACAATTAAGCAGACCATAATGAAAACACTAGCGGCCGAGAAGGCGTTTAGAATAACAAGTTCGACATGAGCATAGTAGAAAGCTGATGGATAATTATTGCTCATGCCATAACTCAATCTTAGCGCTGAAACATATATATTGATTGTCAGATATAATTATATTGTTACATGGCTACTGTTGTGCACTGAGAAAAAAGAGACTGATTACGCAATCGTATTTAAATTAATCAAACAAGAAGTACACGTGCTGGTACGTAATAGTGAGCTATACAATAATTAATCGTGAGCTATACAATAATTTATCGATACAGTAATTAATTAATTATAATCGAATGCAACTGTCGCATAAACGATAGTATTAATCGACAAATGAGTCAAGTATCTCGTCGCGATTTAAATTAAATAAGTTAAGTGTCATGGTTAAATGAATAATTTCGCTGTACTTGTTTAATGCCGAGAGACACTGTCGTGTCTCCTGATTTGGTTCATTTGGAATACAACAGGTAATATATAAGCGGTATTTTTTTCTGCAGTGCACACTGTCGGAATCGGATTGTACAAACTAATTGTTATCCAAGAGAGAATAACGCCGATATGCGCCAGCGCAAGTCCACTGAGGTACAGGTATGCGATACCACGAAACACTGGGCCAGATAGTACAACAAAGATTGCCGCATTGCCAAAAATGCCGATGGTTAATATGATCGGGACTATGATACCGTAAGATGTCCACGTCAAAGATATCACTTGGCTTTGAGTAACGTCGTCCTCGGTAGGCGTATGTCCGAGAGTAAAGTTATCATCATCACAACACAACTGAGTACTACAAAAAGCATTTTCATTGGGATCTCGTATGTGCAAGAGTTATACTTATTATAGAAAGCGTGCAAGCAGCAATTTTACAAACCCATCGATCACTCCTGTCAGCATTGTATACGTTTCGTTGATTGTGTAATTATACGAATTAAGATTGCTGTTAAAGAACTTGTACTTCAGTGATTAAGTGATCTAGAAACTTTTCACTGTTTGACGTTTTGTATTTTGTTCACGCACGTCGTCGTCTCTGTTTCTCTCTTTCTTCCTCTAGCCAGCTGTAAATCTACTTTCAATAAAGACATGATAGACTCTAACAGGTTTACCTGTGACATATCCACCTTATGGGTCTTGCTGCAGAAAAATATACTGCGCAAGCCCCGAGAAGGTAAAACGTCAAGGTGTATGGGGATTTATTTAAACACATAATAGATGATAGACTTAAACCCTTTATTAAGGTCAAACTGCTTGAACAAACAACAGGGTCTATTATTAATTGTTGTTTACGGTCAAATACTTCATCGTGGAGGTAACACTGATTATGCAATAAAGTAAGATTAAATACAGTTAATCAAACTTATTGTATTTTATAAAATGTACAATCAACATAACTCTTTCTTTATTAAAAAGACTGTAATTTTCTAAGCATTTTTATATGTAATTTTCTAATCATTATTATTGCTTCTTTCTTTATGGAAGAATATCACAAGTTCGCGCTATCCTACATATTATAAATACCAATGATTTTAATTAATCCATTTTAGTTTGGAATACAATTTTCGTATTTTAGACGGATACAAATGGAGCATCTTTGAATATTCCGTAACTTTATTTGGTTATCATTTGTGTCCTTCTAAACAATTACGTATAATTACACGTAGTACCAAAA